CAATTTGTCGCTCCGACTATTAGAGCGCAGTGTGCCTCTTTGGGGAACATTTTTATATATTGGCGTTTTAATAGTTTACTCCAACGAGTCTGTTTTCTCGTATGTTTAGTTGGGCGTCTGCGACGATAAAGACGTAGCAATCTAGCGGCGCTGCCGTCTCTGCGTCTCGCGTCAATTGCAATTTCAATCCACCGGAATCTGCATCTATTTTTCTACCTGTTCCGTGTAAGGTATTATCCGAAATGGCTCTGAGGTCAACCCCTGTCTCTTATACACATCTAGATGTGTATAAGAGACAAGGTTCGGGCCACGTCAACTTGCGAGCGTAAATCTTACTAAAGGCTCGTGCAACCTCTGGCGAGTTTTTGGTCGTCAACGGTTCCGCTTCCTTGTATCTACTCGCCACGTCGACGACCGTCAAGGCGTACTTGTACGTTTTTCCTCTGTACCTATCGTGCGGTAAAAAGAGTAGGTCGGCTTGATGGACTTGGTTTACCGAGACGCTTTGCCTCGTCGGTACGCTCGGTACGTGTTTGGGCGGTGGTAGATAAATTTGCCACATGCTCTGCTTAAACAACCACTCTTTAACAACGTCTCGCGATATCCTCGTCTTGCTGGCGAGTCGATCGATGGCCCCCTCGCCCTGCCATAAATGTTGGGGAGCGTAGTATACACGTTCGAGTTGCCGTATTTCGCGGTTTGTACTCATATTTACAAATATCGCAAATATTTTATAAATATTTTACAGACACGTACGCGATAATGCTCAATACGACGATCAATCCGACCAGCTCCGCATCTTGCTGCGATTCGCTAGGCGTATAAAAGTCGGACTGCTGCGGTTCTCGCTCGAGTTGTAGGCGATCGGACGTTCCACCCATTCTATAGTATTCTCTCATTGCAGATTCAACGTCCGAAAAGGTTCCTTGTGCATGCTGCTCGCGTCCAAGTTTTTCGTTGATGTAATCGAGTTGCGAGGCTCGTTTTTTGCTCCACGAATCTCGAGCCTGAGACAATTGTTCCAAGGCTAAATCGTGCCGTTTCCGTTCCGCGTCGCCACCGCTCATGCGACTGAATAAAAAGTTGCTTCCGCTAAAAGCTAGGGCGTTTACGGCCGCACCACCAACCATCATTGCTACGGTTGCCATTTTTAATTATAGTATTTATTTTATAATCTTATCGGGAATGTAGCCGTTGGCCACCAGCATGTCCTTGGTCAGCGTCGAAGCCGCTATCAGACCCGCGAGCTTTGCCGTATCGGTAATAGTCAGCTTGTCTACGAGCGGTGCTTTGCTCCCCGCCACCTTTTTCAGTATCATTACGTAACCAACCGTCAACGTAGACACGATCGCTCCGCTGTACAAGCTGTTTACAATTACTTTTGTATCGATGCCACTCATACTTTTTTTAGCAAGAGAGATTTTTAATTACATTTCAAACGGATCTGGCTTTGCCGGCTTGTACGGCTTTACCGGCGGTACCGGCTTTACCGGCTGTGGCGGCGGTGTCGGTGGCTTCCTAACCAGAGTGGATACGCTTGGCTTGTTGATTGCATCGTAGACTAGATACCCCAACGCGGCAAGCGTCAGATATGGAATGCAACTCGAAAACGACACGTTGGCAACGCTCGATGCGTCCGAGGCTTGTCGTCGTTTCTCGGCAATTGCTTTACCGGCCGCAACTCGCTTGGGATTCTTGCTCGTGACTTGGGTAATCGTTTCGTCCATTTATTAAATGTCGGTAATTTTTTTTACTAGGTAATTACTCTGACAGGTCGGTAATCGTAGACGCCTCAGACGACGTAGGCACCTCAGGTGCCGCCGGGGCTGATTGATCGTTTAAAATCGGTTGAGACGTCACCTGCGGCGTCGATCGCTCGTATTTCACGTGTCTTGCCGTGTGCATCGCGACCGAAATCGGTGCGAGCCACGCTCCAAATTTATAATAGAGCTCGCACGCAACGGGATTCAACGCTTCCATCAAGAACCGATCGTTTTCGAGATCGTTGCCGAGTTGCTCGGTCGAATCGATCGGAAGTATATAGCCGATAGTCTTGCTGTACATGTGAATCACGCTACTACCGAGCGATTTTGTCACGTCGCTACCCTTTTTAGATTCTAGCATCGCGTACAACTTGGAAATTTCCGACTCGGGCATGCGCTCGATTTGCTCTACGGTATATTCCTGTCCAAAGTAGTATTGAGCGCTACCCCCGCTCACGACAGACTTTATTCGGTCTTTTAGCTCGTCGGAAATGTCTCGAGCTTGCTCGGGCGTAAGCGATTGTTCTGCCGACTCGGCCTTCTTTGACGCGGTTGACGCGGTCTTTTTGGGTCTGCGCTTTTTCTTTGCGGGGGCGGGCGGGTCGGGGGCGCCGCCTGCGGCGGTCTTGGACTCGCGCTCTGCGAGCGCTTGCATCTCGTGCGTTATGTCGGTCATTTTAATAAATGTAAAAATATTTTTATCCGATGTGAATTCCCCAACGGGTCGGTCTATCGCATTTCAACAGCAACTTGCTAAAACACGTCGTGTCGATCTTGTCTTTGACGCGTTTTTTCTCGTCTGCATCTTTTATCACGTCATTCTCTCGCAGACAATCGTAAAAACTGTCTCTGTCTTTGCAGAAAAAGAGCGCGACCCATCGGACCTGTTCTCTAAAATCTTTGAGAATGGAATTGTACTTTTGGGTAAGAATCCAAACGGATTTGTTGTGGTGCCGACCGGAAAAGGCGAGCGTCGACAACGTCTGCTGCTTTCTCTTCATGTCTTTGTTGCTGCTGCAATCGTCGATCACGAATAGCGTCTCGGCGCCGTCGTTAAACTTGCCGCAGAGATGCGTCAGACAATCATCCAGAGACTCGCCGGGGTCAATCGAAAAGACATTTTCGTCTCGCTCTATCCACGCGCGTCTATAACTCGAGTTGACGTTAAACGTCGGACAGATAAATACAATGTTTTTAAAGTAATCCTTGTATTCCGTCTCGAGCAAATTTAACGCGTAAACAGTCTTTCCGCAATTTGTCGCTCCGACAATCAGAGCGCAGTGCGCCTCTTTTGGAAACATTTTTATATGTCGGCGTTAATAGTTTACTCTGACGAGTCTGTTTCCTTCTATGTTTAGCTGAGCGTCTGCGACGATAAAGACGTAGCAATCTAGCGGCGCCGCAGTCTCTGCGTCTCGCGTCAGTTGCAATTTCAATCCTCCGGAATCTGCGTCAATCTTTCTACCCGTCCCGTGCAAGGTATTGTCCGAAATGGCTCTGAGGTCGACCCAGAGGCCGTAGTGATCCGTTAGATATTTCCTTTGCGTCATGTTGGTGAAATGGGTCGGCTTGCAGGCTTGACTGCAAAAGTGTTTGCGAATCTCTTCGTAATTTCTGTAGGGCATCATTCCACGGGCGTAAATTTAGTTGGACGACCCGTCGATCGTAATGCTACATTCCTTGATTTTTGGGTTGTAAAACTTTTCGGGATCGTGCTCGAAATCAGCCTCTCGTTCCTTAAAC